TCATTGGGCTGAAGGGCTTCTTCTGTACTGTATCACTCTATGACTATTGGCTTGGAGGGGTGCGATGCTGATTTGTTGGAATGATCTAAGGCTAAAAGAATTAATTGTGAGGAGACATTGCATTTACTAGGCTCGTATTACATTTACAATAGAAGATTAAGTACTGATCCAATACTGATATTTGAGATGATTAATGTACTGGACAGAAAAAATTTAATTGGTGGGAGGTAGCAACCAGAATGTATGGGCATAACTCTAAATTTAAAATCAGGCTTTTCGCACTGTTGAGAGAAAACATTTCTTCAAGAAACAGGAGTGGAAATCTGGAATACTCTTCCCTAAAAAATTGTTGAGGTGAGGTCAATTAAAATTTCTGAACTAAGTTTGATGGATTTTCATTATGGAAATATTTAAGAGTTATGGAATCAAGGCAGATAGATATGGTTAAATATAGATCAGCTATTCTTTAATTGAATGATAGTACCTGTTGAAACAGTTACGCAAACAGTTGGGGTGGGACAGAGTAAGGGTTTTAATGGAGAAAAGCACATGAAATGTGGAAGTAAGGATGTGATTGAACAAATTGACAACTGCATAGGTTTTGTGGCAAATAGAAGGCCATAGATGAGAAGTTGAAAGTAAAGTTACTTAATGGAATGTAGCTTCTGGGGAAAGCATTGAACTGTGATTGGTGCAGACTCAAGGAGTCAGTGATGAAGTATACAGTGAAGTAATCAAAGATAGCCTCATCCTGGATCAAGCTGATCAAAGTAGAGAAGCCACTGAAGATGGCAAGGTCAAGGGGTAATCAGGAATGTGAATTATTGAAACATATAGGATCCTGAGACATCCAGATTGGTTAGATATAGAGAGGATTTGTTCTCTCATGGGAGAATCTAGAATTAGTCACTGTTTAAAAATCAGGGCTTGCCCATTTAAAACAGAGATTAGGTAAATTTGTTTCTCTCAGAGGGAGCAACATAATAATCACAGTTAACCTAATATCCAAAGTGGTAAATATACTTGAAGATATTCTTCAATATTCTATAAAAGCTTTTAAAACACAGTAACGTAGGGAGCACTCGACATGATTTTAAATGTTTCACAAATTTAATTCTTAGAATGCTGGCTAGCTGGCAAGGACACACATATCTGCTTACCTTTAGAGGGTGAGCCTTCATAACAAGTAGCTCTTGTGGTGATTGTGCTCTTATAAGTGGCGTGAGGGTGGGATGTGGTCATTTTGGTTATCTTGCTGTAAAAATAACATAGATGCATTGAGGAATATTAAGATACAAGGGATCAGGACAATTCCATGCATTAGGGATGAAAAAGTACAGATACTTAATTTTTTTCAAAGAAGGTCAGTGACACAAATTGTCACCCTCAGTAGTGTGTGGAAAACAGATGGATGGGACATAAGTTTATGCAGAATAATCATTGTGTGGTCAGCATAGGTTCCGTGGACTGAATTGCCTTTCATCATTTTGAATGTGTCGTCTGTTAATGCAACTCTATGTCTAATGTCTTAGGTAAATGGATAAGTACATGGATGTGTTTTAAACAACCTATTTGTTGTCTCTGTCTTAGCTTGTTTTGTGTAGGATTCTTTCAGTCAGCAGAGTGAGAAGATGTGCATACATATTTGGGCTTGAAATCAATCTTCCAGAATTAAAGGATGTGGTATATTAAACAGTGATATTCATATAGAACCCTCAGCACAGTGAAACAACATAAAGAACTTAATAAGTTCTACTTGTAAAAAAACATGCTGAACCATAGAAATAGTAGCTGTTGTGACCAAAGACCTGGTCAAAGAGTGAGTTTTACAGAGAGTCTAAAGGATAAGATAAGAAGTGAGGGGTTTTAGATGGGCATTTGCCGATTATTGTCACTTAATTGTTGAGAATTTTATATTTGATTTGTTAGAGAACCACAAACCCATATAATTCAGTGAAGAGAGGGGTGATGGGTGAATAGGTAAATTTGGTGAGGAACAGTTAAAATTTACAGAAGGTTGAGGATGAAAATTAAATCAGTAAAGTATTGCAAAAAACAGATTTGGAGGTGAAAAGCATGTATGAAATATCCAGCAGTTGATGAGGCTGAAATAAATGGGAAAGTTATGATATAGAAATTAATCTAAGAGATTTTGTGATGGAGAAGTTGATATGGGGTTTGTGACAATGCTGTGGCTTTCATGGTGTGTTTTGTCCTGGTTTCTTTTAGAGATTGGGGGACTGATGATGAGCATTCTGTGACAAAATAAACAACTTGTGAGGCCTTGGGGTTTTTTTTTAAAGTTGGAACAATAGATGCAGTCTGAGTGGGTGTGGTTAAACTCTAATAGATCAGGATTTTAGTTAGCTTTGGCAGTTGTTGCTGGGGTCTCAGCAGGGTTGGAACAAAGTGAATCTTACCCAGCTGCTACACTGTCTCTCTCCAAATTGTCTTTTGATATTCTTTCCTTCTGGATTAAAGAATTGCATGTGAGACAATCTATTTTCTGAATTTGCCTTTTTGCCAAGGATGTGTTTATGGGATGTTATTTTGTTAGAACAGTAAATTAGTAATAGTTACTGTATCTATTATTCTGTTAAGTTTTCCAATAGAGTTAAGTTTTTCCAAGTTTTTTTGTTGTATTTCAACTATAGTGTTTGAATAAATTGTGTTTTGCTTAACGTCGAGTAGTTTGACCAAACGAATTACATCTGGAACACATCACCTGACATTTATCTTTAAAATATGAATAAGTTAGTGTCTACGCTACCTTTGTAATATATTTTGAGAGGGTCTAGTCTGGCCTGTAACAGACTGGAGCCTGATAGATCTGGCTTTATTTGCTTCCCTTACCTCAGCTTAATGGAATCTCAGAAACTGACCAGATGCAGGGCTGATAAACAAATCGGAAACATTGCTCACAATGAAGGAAAGAAAATTAATATTAGTGGAAAATCTACAACCACAAAGTTTGAGTCTGCTGCCAGTGGTACAGAAGCCCAGAGCTCAGTGAAACAGCAGCCATACTGTTCTACTTGTATGGGGCGACTGTGATTGCTTGGGGTTGGTTAGCTCCAATGGTTGGATGGCTGATATGTAATGCCAGCAGGGTAGGTTCAAAACCCACTCCAGCTGTGGTTACCATGAAATGCTGTAATTCTCAATGTCTCCCTCACCTGAGGTGTGGTGACCTAGCCATCTCTCACTGAGAGAGTAGCCCTATGGTCTGGAAAGACTATGGCAACTTTATATTGATCCTTAGCTTCCCTGGTTAACCATAATCAGATTATTCTCTTCCTAGAATCCTTTTTGTTGTATCCTGCAACAGGTGGCCTTGTGGCCTGATTTTGAACAACTTAAGGTCTTTCACTGTCCCACCTTGGCAGGGGCATCAGCAATCTAGGCTTGTTATCTGAATTTCAATAGCAAACTTACTGGTGGTAGTCAGAATAGTAAAAGCTGTTGGTTACTTTTAATTGAACTATTTGGACATGTTTTGACACACCTCCGGGCAGGTGGGACTTGAATCTGGACCTGTTATCCTGAGAGAGAATAGCAGTTTTGTGCTACCTAGATTAACTGCTACTTTCCTGGTTGATTGCTCAGCAGTTTTAGTAATCTGCTGGAGCACAGCTTGCTAGAATGCTGACTGCCTAGAAGCCCTTTTGATCATGGGTATCTGTGATGCAGCACATAGTTCACAAAGCACAATTCTGAGCTTGCATGGCTACAATCCTGAAGATACCCTTAAGAGTCATATTGGATTTGAAACATTAGCCCTGCTTCTCTCTCTCTCTCCCTGTACTGATGTTGCCACTTCGGCTCAGTTTCTCTAGCAGTTTCTGATTTTATCTATGAAACTTATGGCTTAAATTCAATTGTAGCATTGGGACATTGTGAGGTATCTTCGCAGCAATGGCATCTAAGGTGCTGGCCAGAGCGTGCTTCACGGTTGAGTCCGCAAGAGTTGTCGTGGAGTTGGCCAATACTTTCACGCAGGGTCTCATGCGTGGCTCTTTCCTCTGATGCTTACAGCGTCGCAGCACTAAACTTGGGAGCCCCTTCCCCGGTCTTTGCTCCACCTGCAATCTCCTTTCTTCCCTGAAACACTTTAGGACAGATCCGGCGGGTAACCTGAGTGTATTTCCCATGTGAGAGGGGCAGTCTGTTTTGAAGGCTTATTGTATGTTGTTCTAGCCACACACGCCCCTATGCCCTCTATTGAGTGTGCGGTCGGCTAGCTAGAAGTGGTGCTTGTAAATGTGGTGTTGCCTGTTTGAACTCAGCCGATCAAGACTTGTCACACATCGAGACCCACGCCTCCAATCACAGATCGAATCTAATGTTACGTCTGATTTAATATCGAACTTTATGCCCTGCCTTTTATGTGCCTCAGAATCATTGCTGGGAGAGTAACATGGAAAGAGACCTGTGAAAAGTTTGCTATTTGACAAATAGGGAAGGGATTTGAAAAAAAAAGCTTCATAGATTTTGTGAAATAAAAATTTCAAAAAGTCTGTAGAACTCAATTTACTTCAAAATATATAATTTTTGCACGTATTCTCAGCACAATAATTTGCATTCAAGCTGTGGATACCCTGCACCCTCCTTAGGATCCCATCCGAGCTCCTCCTACAAACTTCGGCTTCTCTGGTGCAGTTTTGACGTATGTAACCCTATCAGGCCAAACCACTGTTACGGAGGAGGACACTTGCATGTTTTGCCGCGTAGCTTTAGCCATTGATTTCCATACTTTTATTTCTGTGAGCTGGAACAAAATCTAAATACAGCAATCTCAGTGCATGATATTTAATGCGTGCGCTATTTTAACAGGACCGAGTTCTCCGAGTTTGTAGTTGTCGTTCCCCCTCCCTGTGATGGATGGCGCAGCGCAGAGGCCAGGTTGTGTCACAACGCTCCGCTCGCTGGTGTGGCTGTGATGTGACCGTCCGTCCAAGACCCTCAGCTGGTGGACAGCGGTGTCCAATTTCTGTTGTAAAACACAGTCACGGAGCACATCAGCCAAAAGCAATGCAGTAACGTCGGCAAACTTTATCGTGCGATCGAGTCATCATCGGGCGTCCGTCGTGCGGAAAAGAGCGTGCACCCGTTCGCCTGAAAGGAAAATGTAAGTTAGTCAATCTGATCACACCACCGTTTTCATTTTGCTGCCGTTGAACGCCACATGCCAGAGGTAAAAGGAGGCAAGCCAGAGATGCGACACCGTGGTTTTGATCGTGCTTGGTGTTGGTATTGTCGCTTGCTACAATTGTAGAGAGCACGGACAATGTCATTTTTATTTGCTCCAATGTCTTTGTGGTTAGTCCTTGGATAGAACCCAGGTTATAGTAAAAGGAGCTTTAAATGTGGAGGAGTGTGTTTCTCCTGCAGTCAGAATAAAACGCTGATTTATGTCTGGGCGTGACATTTGCTAACTTTATTCGAGAATGGACCGGTTTGTTTATTATTACAATTCAAGCGAGAATATTATAAATATACACTCATTTTCGCTTGCTTTCAATCGTTTTGGTATCGATTTAACATGTTTTAAAGATTCCGAATCATGTTTCGGACATAAATTTTAGAATCTGCAGTGTTTTCTTAATGAGTCTATTTTCACTTTTTTTGTCCCGATCGATGTCGAGTAAATTTAAATTGAGATTTTGCAAATTCACTGTTAAAGTATTGCGGTTCGGTTTGGACAGTGATACAGATTCGAATATCACGCGTCCCTAAAATGAAGACACAACATCTGTGTTGATTGAAAAAAGTGTTTATTGAGGTCTGATTCGAGTAAATGGGATATCTATTGTTCGCAGGATTGTTTTATCACAGCTGCCTTTCACTAAATGAAGGTATTGTCATTGACACAAGACCTGAATCGAAAATAATAACATTTGAAACAAACATTTTCAATGTATATATTAATGTCATCCGTACCCACCGTTTGAAGACAGTGATATTCCTGTGTCGAGTATGACGGGCTGGGAAGTAAAGTTATTGGAAATGCCTCGTTTTATTGCCAAAATCAAAATATGATTGAAGATGTTTGTAAATATCTGAATAAATGCAAAAATATTTGTTTTGCTGCCTCTATATTGTTCTCGCTGGACGCCCCACACTGTTATGTTACCATAAAAATGGTCGTAATTTGTAAAGGAAAAATTACCTTTCAGGCTCTTAGGATTTCGTGCTGGGCTGCGGTTTGCTGATATTTTTGCAGGTTGGAATTTAATAATTTACAACGGTGTGATACATGTTAATGTCATCAGCCAAAATATGGAGGTGCCGGGTTTGGACTGGCATGGACAAGTCAGAATTCGCACGACACCGGGTTATAGTCCAACAGGTTCATTTGGAATCTCTCAAACTTTCGGAGCGCAGCACCTGACGAAGGGGCTGCGCTACAAAAGCTTGTGTGATTTCAAATAAACCTGTTAGACTACAACCTGGCGTCGTGTGACTTCTGACATTGGCCAAAAGACGGCGGTATTAGAGTATCGCTGTTGAACAAGGTGGGTTGCCCCGAGAGTTGGGAAGCAGGGTAGAAAAGCGAAAGAAGAAAAACGGATGACAAAGGAAGGAGGAACAAAAGAGATCATCAAACGGAGAGAGAATCAAAGAAGAAGGTGGATGACAGCGGATGAAATTGCACTCTCCCAAGCTCACTTTCATACACTTGGGAGGTCGGAGTTCAGAATCAGAGGCTCCACGGTGGAGCCGTATTCTCTTACATCCTGAGCAGCTGACGTTCACTCAAGGCTGGCAAATTAAAGTGGTGAAGATCTCCGTGGACGAGGCCTCGGACGGACATGGCACCTCAGGATTGAACTGGATGGGCTGTTACGTCCTGGGGAAGGAAAAAAAACAGCTATTCACCATCTCAATGGGCACAATTTTGAACAGGCGAGTTGATCTTTACATATGATAAACACACAACCACATATGGAAACATTAAATTTAAGTCCTCCACACCCACCCAGTTAGTTATCCCCAGATTTTTTTATGTGGTTCAGCTTTATATTTATCGCTTCTCAATTTAGAATTTACAATTGTTTTTGAGCAGAAGGGTAACAAGCAAAAATAACCCTCAGCCCGCAAGGACTGAAGAATTGGAACACGGGACCGTTAACTATTGGACTTTGATTTCTCGGACCTCAGTGTAATTTAGATATTCTGACAGAATTTATTCTGTAAACCTCAACGTGATGATGTACATGTCTATGTAAATGGTGAAAGAACGTTGAGAGAACTTGGGAGCTCTTGAATACTAATACAAACACAGATCATATCGTTTTCCATTGTATATGAATATTTTATTTTCATTATTCATATTTAGTTGTACACGTAATTTGTTTTTGACATCTTAGCCCGATCCAACTGTTGTTACGAAACGTTTCCTTTGATTTTCATGCATTTGACTACAAGCCTATTTTAGAGTTTAGTCGAGAAACAGCTATTGAAAAGCAGCTTTAAATAGAATTCCTCCCTTTAGGTTGTGCAGTGATTTTGGTAATACTTAACTCGGATGATATTTTTGAGGGTGTTTCGAGTACCTGTATTTCGAGGTTCCTTACAGTTAGTTAAGAAAGTGGTCAGGCTGGATCAGATTGGGCATTGAGTAGGCCTCCCGCCGCCGCTAAAATCCCGGCGGTGTTGGCGGGTTTGGGGGACGATGGTGAGGCTCTTCAACAGCGGATTGCCCATTCCGCAACACATCCACATCTCACCCTACCCCTCCCACCCGGAAAATGACGGTGTGGGCGGGAATGGCACGGGAAGGATTTTACGTGACTTCAACCTTCAAATTCGGCAGGAGATGGGCTTAAACCAGTTTAACATTTCGGGGTGCTCGATGGATAACTGCTCAGCACTGTACCAAGTACAACTTTTTATTCTAATTATCGGTGAGCATACTCCAAAGGTGAAGCTGTATGTTTTAACACTGATGTTCTCAGTTGTTGCCGTGTGATTTGCATCATGAAGCATTCATTTCTGATTAAAGGTCAGTGACCTCTTTTCACATTGCCTGATCCACTGAGTATTTCCCCTATTTTATTTTTATTTCACATTTCCGCCATGCGTTCCTGTTCTAAAAAAAACCCACTAGGAATGAAATGACTCAAATTGGTCCATTAGATTGGGATTTATTCCGTTTGATATTGAACATTTGAAGAAGCGAACTCCTAAAGTAACAGTTTCAGCATCCTTATTTTATCTTTTGACAGTACATGATCGAAATTATATGCAAATTTCTCAACAATTTATATAGCATCTTTTAATGCAGAAGCATCCCAAGATGCTTCACAAAAGCTGGATCAGACAAGAATGAGTCTGGGCTATACTAAGACTAAAACCTTGGGCAAATAGTTGAGTTTTGCTCCTTAACCTTATGTTTAGCAAAAAACTCTGTTTCCTGCATTTTAACTTTTTTTTAAATTTGCTGGGAAGACCAGTATTTTTAACCTATCCGTTATTGAGAAATCAGGATTGAACTGCCTTGTACATGATATAGGTTCACAGAGTGTTGTTAAGCATGAAAATCTGCACTAAAACCTATTCAGCCTTCACTAGTGTGCTTGCTGAACTATCTTGGTTCCCAGTGTAGCAGTACCTTAATTTTAAAACTCTCATGAAATGTCCAAATTGGTCCAGTAGATTATGATTTATGCTGTTGGATATTGAATATTCGAAGAAGTGAACTAAAGCTACAAGATTTCAGCATCCTTGTTTAATCTTTTGATAGTATCTAGAGTCATACAGCATGGAAACAGATCCTTCGGTCCAACTCATTGGCGCTGACCAGACATCCCAATCTGACTTAGTTTCATTTGCCAGCATTTGGCCCATATCCCTCCAAATCCTTTCTATTCATGTACTCATCCAGATGTCTTTCAAGTGTTGTAATTGTATCCACCTCCATCACTTCTGGCAGCTCATTCCATACACACACCATCATCTGTACGTAAAAGTTACCCCTCAGGTCCTTTTTAAATCTTTCCCCTCTCACCTTAAACCTGTACCCTCTAGTTTTGGACTTTCCCCTCCCTAGGTAAAAGACCTTGGCTATTCAACCTGTCCGTGCCCCTCATGATTTTATAAACCTCTATAAAGTCACCCATCAGCCTCTGAAGCTCCAGGGATAAAGGCCCTAGCTTATTCAGCCTCTCCCTATAGCTCAAACCCTCCAGTCCTGGCAACATTGTTGTAAATTTTGTCTGCACCCTTTCAAGTTTAACAACATCCTTCCTACAGAAGGGCGACCAGAAATGTATGCCTCACCAACGGCAACATGACATCCCAACTCCTATTCTCAAAGTTCTGACCAATGAAGACAAGCATGCCAAACACCTTCTTCACCACCCTTCTACCTGTGACTCCATTTTCATAGAACTATGCATCTGCACCCTTCGGTCTCTTTGTTCAGCAACTGTCCCCAGGGCCCTACTATTAACTGTGTAAGTCCTGTCCTGGTTTGCCTTCCCAAAATCTTTTGATAGTACCTCAGATCCCTCCATGGCCCTTCTCTGTAACCTTCTCCAGCACTAATGCTCTTTGAGATCACTGGTGTGTTACATTTCTGACCACTTGTGCATTTCTGATTTCCGTCTTGCCATTATCTGTGATGTGTCTTCAGCTCCTCAGGTCCTGTATTCTAGAATTCCTTTCTAAACATCTCTATATTTCTTCCTGCCTCTCTTTTATGATGCTTATGCACATGATATACCAATGAACATATGAATTAAAAGCAGGATTAGGCCACTCGGCCCTTTAAATCTGCTCAGCTATTCATTAGGATCATGGTTGATTTGATTACTTCATGTTCCACTTACTCCCCAATAACCCTTCGCCTCCTTGTTCCCTCTCCCTTAAAAGTATTCAAGTACTCTGTTTCTACTGCCTTTTGAAGAAGACTTCCAAAGACACATTACCTTCTGTGAGAAGAACATTCTCTTCATCTCTGCCTTCAGTGGGTGACCACTTTATTTTAAACAGTGTCCTGCTTGTTCTAGATTCTCTCATGAGAGTAATCAGCCTTTCCAAATACACTCTGTCAAAACCCCTCCGAATACTGTATGTTTCATTCAAGTCCCCCCTTACTTTTCTAAGCTCCTGCAAATACAAGCATTGCTTGTCTAACTTTTCCTTGTAAGAAAATCTGGTAAACCTCCTCTGAACTGCTTCAAATACATTTACATCCTTTAAATAATAAGAATAAATTGTCAAACTAATCGAGATGTGATCTCACCAATGCTCTGTTTAACTGGAGCATAACTGAAGTCCGCATTGCAGTTAACAGTTTTTTTTGTTTTCTTAGTTACTGTCTATACCTGTGTGCTAGCCTTTTGTGAATTATAGGGTCTTGTGGCGCAGTGGTAGTGTCTTTTCCTGTTGGCCAGCAGATCTTTTGCTCCCATTCGCATTGGGCGTTGTAAGTATTTGAATGTGGATTTGTTAACAGAAGTTTCCAATTATTTGTGCACTTCATCTGCAAATGGTAATTGCCAAATAATACAAAATGAAATTAAATACATTTTTCATCAGGAATATTAACATTTACTGATTAAAGTTTTTTTATTCAAAGAGCCAAATGGATGTGCTTGTATCAACTTAACATCCCTGCGTAATTCATTGAACTGAATTTTTTGAACATAGTTTTCTTGGTGGCATGAGTGTTACAGAAGTTGTGGAAGATTGAAAAATTAATAGTAATTTGAGAATATTTTGGACACTGTCATTGCTAATTTCTGAAGGATTGTGCAGCTGCTTGCTTGGTAGCTGACCTGAAAAAGATTTTAATATACTTGTTCCATTTGGCTTTTCCCAATGCCACTTTGCAATTCGGCTTTGGAACAATGGAATAATATTGGTGAGAAACAGTTGAAATGCGGCAGTTTATTGTCTCTTTATGGACACATCAGTATTTGACATGGAAGCCACATTTAATTGCCATGAAGAGTACTTGTAGGTTTACAAGTATTCAAACTGTTTTATCATTAATTTATTTTTGTACACTAAAGAAACATTTTGGTACCATTTTCCAACTGTAACATGAAATTGAGTTTTAATCTTAGTTTCGTCTTTGAGGTGCAGATAGGGAATATTTTGCAAAGTTAACCTTAAGGCCAATAAAGTATCTACTGTCTCACAAGCAGCAAATGAAAACTAGGTGGTGATTTTAATTCAGAAATAAGTATTGGCTAGGAAAACTTTCACGTTCTTTTTTGAATAGTACTTTAGGATTTTTTTTATGCACACCTGAATAGGCAATTGAGATCTCTCTTAACATCCCATCTGAAACATAGCACTGCTGATAATGCAAAATTGCTTGAATGTCAACCAGATTAGAAACCCATGTCATTGACCCTATCTACCTGCCTGTGATGTCAGCCAGCATATTAAATGTTTCTGGACGTGAGGTTAACTCTTTAAGTGCTATCTGAAATAGCTTTGCAAATCTCACAATCATGGCAATTAGAAATGGAAAACAAATGCTGCCTTTGCCAATGATGCCCACATCTCATGAAATCATTTTTAAATTTCTTGTGGAGATGAATCCTGACATAATTCAGTACTTATTTGTATTTTCTTACATGCTAGTTTCAAATCAGCATGTATCTGTACTCATTTTGTGAGCAAAATGTGGATAATACTCTAATTTGGCTTTACTTTTTGTAGTTCATTTCCGCCATCCACCCTTAAATTCTTTTGTTATTCGGTATAAGACAAATCTTATTTTGAATGTGATTCTCAAGAATCATGATGCACTTAGATTACAGCACAGTGGAAATTGCAGTATAAGAATTACAATACAGTTGGCTAATTACATTTTTTTCTGTTAATATTTCTTCAACTGAAGTAACTTGTCTTCTATTCCTGTCTTTTTACATTCTTTGTTTATAAGCACATGTTACGTTCTCTCCATCACTTGAGGCCTTGGCCCAATCCTCTCTAGCTGCTTTGTCAATGACCTTCCCTCCATTCTGATGTGAGAAGTGGGGATGTTCACTAATGATTACATAACGTTCATTCAGTATCATTTGCGACTTGCCAGATACTGAAGCAGCCATGTCCAAATGCAAAAAGACCCAGACAATATCCAGGGATAACAAGATGTAGAGCTGGATGAACACAGCAGGCCAAGCAACATCAGAGGAGCAGGAAAGTTGATGTTTCGGGTCGAGACCCTTCTTCAGAAAATGTCAGCTTTCCTGCTCCCCTGATGCTGCTTGGCCTGCTGTGTTCATCCAGCTCTACACCTTGTTATTTCAGATTCTCCAGCATTGGCAGTTCATATATCTCTCAGACAATATCCAGGTTTGGGCAGACAAGTAGCATGAGACAAAAACAGAAATTGCTGGAGAAGTTTAGCAGGTCTGGCAGCATCTGTGGAGAGAAATCGGAGTTGATGTTTCAGGTCTGAGGAAGGGTCAAACTTGACCCGAAATGTTAACTGATTTCTCTCCACAGATGCTGCCAGACCTCTGAGCTTTTCCAGCAATTTCTCTTTTTGTCTTTGATTTATAGCATCTTCAGTTCTTTTGGGTTTTTTTTAAAGTAGCAAGGAGTATTGGTGCCATACAACTGCCTGGGAATGACCATCTCCAACAAGAGAAAATATTTTGATATTCAGTGACACTAAAATTACTGAGTTCTCCACTATCAACATCCTAGGGGTTACCATTGACCAGAAACCGAATTGGATTAACCATATATATGTATAAAGTGG